TCCTCTACCTGGGAAACCCTGCAAAGGGTGACCATCAGTAAGAATTGACTTAACGGCACATCATTATTATCATTGTGCTTGTAAATGAAGCTCATGCATTCCTCACAGTGAGAGATCACAAAGCAAAACAAGCTATTTTGCAACCCATAGAGGGCTTTAAAAACTACTATGATATTCACACATTTGAGCATCACTAGAACTTCATTGGTATAAACGACGTAAGGAATTGAAATGATTCCAACAGCCCTTTTTCTTAGATCCCAGGTCTAGTGCCACCTGGTGCCTAAATCTTATAATGACATTATCCACACTGAAATCAATCCTCTACCAGAATCACCTCTTTTTCTACCACTTGTATTGAACGTGTACCTCTAGCTACTCTGAGAGAACTTCATGCAGTGTGGACAAGCTGTGCTGTAGTGCATCCAGATTGTGACCTGGGCAACAGAGACTGATTTGATTAAGTGAGAGGTGCTGACATGAGGTTAGACACATTTCTTGGAAGAAGATGGAGAATGCATTAATTTGGAGAAGATGCACTTATGCAAAGGAAGATGTGCTGTTTGAATATATTTTTGGAGTTGCACAAGATGTATCTATCACCCAAGAGCCTCCTCTCTATTTTTCAGTGCCAAAGCTGGTTGGATCATTTGCAGATTTGAAATGAGAAGCAGAAAGAATTCCCCAGCTATTTCAAAGAAGGGGTGATGCTCGTCATTAGCAAGGGTAGAAGGGTGACTTCTTTATGTCCTTCCTGTCACCAAAGCAATTGCAACTTTCATTTGTATCTTGGTCTCCATTTCTTATACTGGAAAATGCAAATTCTCCATCTTGGAAGATATAAAACAGTAGTCCCCAGATGTTCTTGGACTAAAACACCCAGAAGCCTTCACCACAAACTTTGCTGGCCAGGATTTTTTTGGGAGTTGTAGTCCAAGAACATCAGGGGGACCTGAGGCTGGGAATCACTGATATAAAATGAAGACCAGCTTTGTAACATTTCCACCTAACTACTGTATTTGCTGGCGTATAAGACTACTTTTTTGCTCTGAAAAACATGCCTCCAAGTGGGGGGGGGTCGTCTTATACGGCAGGTGTACTTCAGTTGGGATGGACATAGCTGCCCATAGTGGCCTTCCGATGCTCGCCCAGTGCCCATAGTAGCCTCCTGATGCCTGCCCACCTCATTCTACATACCGTCCAGTATTGCACGGTATCCAGCACGGTCACGACGAGCATCAGCAGCGAGACAGGGGTGCCAGTCTTTTTGACGTGACCAGCCTGTTCTGCTCAGCGGGAAGCAGTGGCGCTCCAGCCCCCCCCTTTGTCTACGCATAGCTCACACATGCGCACTTGCACACTAGTGTCTCACACATGCGCACTAGCGCCGGTCACAGGGAGATGCAGGGGTGGGCTGGAGGCGCTGCGGCCGCGCTGCGGTTGTACAATGGTGACAATGAATAGCACCTTTTATTTGGTGTGTGGAAGGTGTGCAGAAGAGGGGGTAGTCTTATACGGCGAGTACATAACAAACTCTATATTTTGAGTGGAAATGTTGGGGGGGTCATCTTATACACCAGGAAATATGGTGTCTTTATACCAGTTCACAATGTCAGCATCTCCAATTTGTTCTTTTAAACTTCTTCCTCTGGGACAAAGGAGTGTTCTGATCAGCTTCAACTGTGTACCCATCTGTCTTTGTTCAATGTCTGTGGAGAATTCCTGGCCTTAGTTGCTCCCACCCATGCCAAGAAGGAGAAAGGAGCGAGTTGTTTCCATTCTTCTCTTAATAATGTCTAGGTTTGGTTACTAGTGTTGCGTGTCATCATGTTACCAAGAGCTGTGGAACTTCCGTATAATGCTCTGAAGTATACACATGTGCATGCTGCTGCTGGGCTTTATATATACCCACACATTTAGAAATGTAAGAACACGTGCCCTATGACTCACGCCGGCTCCATCGTGCCAGGAAGCGGTAAAAGGAGGAAATGACTGTTTGGGCCTTTTCTTCACTCGCCGATGCCCGGCATGCTGCACGCCCAGCGCTCTGGAGCACCCGCCATGAAGGTGAGTGACCCTCATCCCGGTCTATGTTCTCCCTGACATAGTCCAGACCACCCAGCTCTTTCTTCTAATAATAACCACATCTCTCCTCCACCACCCCTTCGTTGCTTCCTGTCTGGAACAATTTGCCAGCTTTGGAGGGGAGCGTGTGAGGAAATCGTGCTGGCCGGTTAACCCTGTGTGCTGGGTCTGGAGACAGAAGAACGAGGGGCCTGAGGAAACGAAAACCACATGGTCGAAATAATACTGGAGTGGGAGGAGAGGGGACTGAGAGATATAAGCCGAGGGGTTGGATTGTGGAGGCCAGAATCCAGAGGGACAAGTATGTGCGACCATCCGCAGGTGTCGCTGGATGCTTTTCTTTACTCCCATCTCTGCTTCCCTCTCTCAGAGGGCTTCTTCGTCTTCTGACATCTTCAAATTGAAAAGGAGAAAGCTAAGATCCAAACTTTTGGAGCATCGCTGGGTGTGTGTGTGGGATGATGGTAGGAGAAAGAAACATGAAGGCATTAAGCTTCTCACTTATAATGCCAGAAGTGAAGAGAGAGGCTGGTTAATTTCAGTAACTTTGGGACAAGAACAGACTGGTTTGGAAGGAATCCAGTAGGAGAGGCTTAAAAAAACCCAGTCCACCCCAGAGAGCGCGAGAGAGGCCCCGCTGGGTTTTAATCAACTCCAACAGCCTCTTTTCTCGGCCGTTAGAAGGCTGACAGCTCAGAGGTGCCTCCTCGGACTGCTTTATCATGATGACTCTCATCTCCTCCTCAGGAGTTTTCCTACAGCAAGTCACCATGTCAGCAGCAGCTGGAATCAAAGGGCATCTTCTGTTGGGGGGAAATGTCAGTATCTCTCCATCTGTGAAGACTCGGACCTATCCAGAAGGCCGGAGATCTCAGAAGAGCTGTTGAGTCAGAAATAGCCTTTAGATTGAGGAGATGGGTATTTAATACCGTGTTGGGCCATGTGCAGGGTGGGGTCACGTGTATATGTTTGAATGTTTCATATGCAGCACGAGAAAGTTGCCTTTTCTCAGAATCCTCCATCAGCACGGCCACAAAAGTAATTTTTCCATGCTGTGCACTTATTGTCTCCGTTTGTTTCAAAATTTGATCATGCGACATATATTGGGATACTTCATTTGCTTTTTGGTAGCATTGCGGCTGGGTGTTAAAAACTGGGGGGGGGGAGGAATTATTATTATGGGAGAACAAATTTCTTGTTGACTTTTGCAGCTGTGGTATGAGGAATCTAAATGGGGTAACTGAAATAGACAATACAGAATTTGAAATTGACTTGCTCTGTTCAATCACGTGAAAACAAGGGCTTGTACAATTTCTCGGCCATCTGGTTGCCACATGGGTCACTGAATTTCTCTGCAGCGCAAGCTGTAATGTAGCCCCAATTGGGGGGGAAGGAGGAACCCAAACATTGCTTTAAATACAGGGGGTTGGGGTGGGGTGGAGCTCAAGCAGTACATTCTGGGTGCAAGCAAAATGCAGCAAATAATCAGTGCTTTAATTGATTTGTTGTCGTGTTTTTACTGCCAGGGTGGAGGAATCTGTTGTGTTTGTATGGGTTTGTGTTCATTTTGTTTTTGCAGCAGGGATCAAAATAACTTGATTGACCATTTGTACTTCGTATTATATATTATATATTTGTATCACCCTGAGTGGAGAATCTTACTCAGGCTACAACATTTATTGAGTTAGCCCTGTGACTTAAAGAAACAGAGGCAAACAATAAGTTTTAATAAATGACCTTAAAAGTATAAAAGGCTGCCGGTTAAACCAACAGGCTTCTTAAGTATTAGTCCTAGTTTCTTTTAAAAAATTATTAATCATGATTAATAACTTGCTAAAACCCATCCATTTATGTTATTTTCTCCATTTGTGGTCGTCTCTCCATATAATCCCAAATTTGCTTTCATATGGAGAAAATATGCTGGCTGTGTTTCCTGCAGATTTTAATATTTACAAATTATCAAGTACGGTTTAAATCACAAGCCATTTGCAAAAGAGTGTGTAAATATACATTTCTGGCAATCTGGAATGGCTTGTAAGCAAGTCTGTTCACTTTGTTTTGTACAAATTACAATTCGACAGCAAGGACAACCTAAAGTCTGATGCTCCGATACACTATACACAAGCAAAACAACTGTGCCTATATTTTGTATACTAATTCATATTTTTAAAAGAAAGCCTGTTTGTAGCTATGCACACTTGAACAGGGCTATCTAATCAGAAGAGAGGCTGTGATCCTATATCCACTTATGCAAGAGTAAATCTCAGGGAAAAAATATTTCAAGACTTACTTCTGAGTAGGATGAAGGAGGCTTGCACTTTGAATCCCATTCCTGATAATCTTAGTTACAAAACCATCTCGGGCCTTCGAGGTATTAGCCCGTATCGTCCATATATCAAGTGCACACTGCTGTACACAACTGCTAGAAATCTGCATTTTTAAAAATAAAGCAAGGCAGGAAGACTAGGAATTGTGCACCTGTTACTACTATAGTCAGCTATATGAAATGGAGGACAGGGATTTTTTTACCTTTAATAAGTGTATGGATCAGGAAATGGTCACTGAAAAGTCTCCATTGGCTGAAATTTCTTGTTCCCTGCAGCTATTAAAGCTACAGAAGGTCTATGTATTTGCGAAGGCTCTCCTACATTTCCATGGGATCCCCTTGCTGCACAGCCGTGCTTGACTGAAAGGAAAGTGGGTGCAGGAAAGATTTCTTACAGCTGGACTGTCACAGGCGACTCAGGGCCATCTACTACCAACAGCCCTGCAGGAAAAAAGGAACAAATTCTAGCATCTATTCTACCAGATTATTTTTCCTTTTGTTTTTTCTTAGTGAATGAGGTTCTTTTTGCACGTGTTTGCCTTTCTTTGTTTTAAACATGGCAGTCAGAAGGAGACGTAAAACTAATAACATACACAAGCAAATGGACAGCTCGAGAAAGCCATAGTTCGAAGCAGAGCTTGCAAATGTTATGTATTTTAAATATACTGTATATATATTTCCCAGAATCCTGGAGCCAGCATGGCCAGTGAGTGTGTTGGCTGGTGGATGCTAGGCTTTGTAGTCCAAAGAAATACGATGATACTACAGGAGAGTGTTTGTACATGTATACACTATCAGCAGGGGAATGGTGGCTCCTCTTAGGAGAATCTACTGAACTGTTTGGATGGATGGGTTTGTATTCTGCTTCCAATTGGGAAGAGCACTATCATTAGGTAAAGGGAGCAGCCCAGTAATTGAAGAGAGTGAGCTGTGTGTCATGCAGATTGCCCTGCACCCCTCTATAATGATAATAATCTTTAAGTGCAGAGCTGGAAGGAACCCTACAGGTCACTGGGTCCAGCTTCTGTCAAGGAGGCACGGTGGAGAGTTGAACCCCCAACTTCTGGCTCTATAGCTAGAGACCTAAGCCTCTTTAAACTAGCCTGTAATCTTCAGGTGTTGTGGAGAACACCGCCCGGTCATCACTATTTAAGAAAACTTCAACCACCACTCCAGTTGCCTTTATAGACTACATGAGAAGGTGGTCCTATTTTGTCTTTTTGGCTCAGGCCATAGAAAGGCTTGGGCTGGCCCTGAATACATGTTCATCTCATGCTGGTGCACAGTTGAGCTCTGGGAGAATCCGCATTGGACACAGCCTGTACGTGGAACATCACAGCTGACGTTTATTTGCTTCCCTCCCCCTCCCCAGCTGATCCTGTTGCTTTCCCTTGTGACCCTTGCAGCCACTGCCGATGTGGAAGGTAAGCTGTTTTCCTCTTCCCGAAACCTTGCTCTAGGTGGGTGTTGCAAGGTTCACCCTTGTGCCAGTAGCTGGCAGGGGGTTTACACACCACAGACTTTCCAGGACAAAAGCACCCCATTCTGTGAGATCTAAGGCCCCAAACCAGGAACCAGGCAAGGGGATCAGACAGGCAAACATTGGGAGAGAGGCAAGCCCAGGAAGCCAGCCCAACTCACCTGCCTTTGAGCTGAGCCTGTGAGCACTGAGGCCAGCTAAGTGGGAATGTCTTCCAAGCCACCCCACATGCCAAGATCCTTCAGCGCCGCTCCCTCGGAGATGTGTCTCCCTGCTTGGAGACCCAGAGAAAGATGGCCAGTCCTTGAGACCTTAGCCAGTGCCCTGAGATCTCCCAAAAGCTCCCCTCCTTCCTCAGTAAGGTGGAGATGTGGGCAGTTATGGCTTCCCCCTGTCTTTCAGGAATGTAGGCAAGATGTCTCCAAGGGAGCACTGAGAGAAGAGTGAGGATCATTCTGTGAAGCACCATGAGCAACTCAGATATATCAGTCTAGGCCAATAGTTCTCAACCTTGATTCCCCAGATGTTCTTGGAAGGCAATGCCCAGAAATCCTGGCTAGCACAATTAGTGCTGAAGACTTTATGGAGTTTTAGTCCACGTACATCTGGGGACCCAAGGCTGGGAAAATCGGTCTAGGTTGAAGGAGGTCAGCAGAAATTAGAGTAGTTAAAGGTAACTTCAGGAAACCAAAGGAGACCATTTCAAGGCCCATGATCTTACAGAATCATAGAATAATTCAGTTGGAAGGGGCCTGTATGGCCTTTGACTCCAACCCCCACTCCCCTGGCTCAGTGGAGGAATCCAAATCAAAGCTGATTTGGCAAAGGGTGGTCCAATTTTCTGTTGAATGCCTCCAGTGTTGGAGTGCTCACCACCTCCTGCAGCAACTGGTTCCATTGTCATACTCCTCTGACAGTTAAGAAGTTTTTCCTGATGATCAGCGTAAATTTGTCTTCCTGTAGCTTGAGCCCATTATTATCTCTCCTGCACTCTGGGATGATCAAGAACTGATCTCACCCTGTACAGTGTTTCATTTTTAAATCAGACATGGAGTGGATGGTTCTTTCAGGAAAGAATGCTTTCAAAAGGATGACTCTCCTCCCATGGGGGGGAGGAATTCCTTAACGCCGTGGTTCTCAAACTTGGGTAACCCAGATGTTCTTCGATTTCAGCTCCCAGAAGCCTTCAGCTGTGCTGGCTGGGGTTTCTGGGTTGATCGCAGCTCCCAGAAGCCTTCAGCTCTGCTGGCTGGGGTTTCTGGGTGTTGTAGTCCAAGCAGATCTGTTGGGAACCCTTGCCCCAAGAAGTTCAGTAATAGGAGCATGCTCAGTAGCCATGTTATTCTGACTCTCTGTATTCTTTTAATTTCAGGAAGCACAACGTCAGCCATTGGATACAAGCAGGACAATGCAGATGAAAACACAACAGAACCCTCTTTGATTTCAACACGTGAGTCTTAGGAACCAACAGATGGACTCTAGTCAATGTGGCTGACAGCAGTTTACGTCTGGGTGGGGGGAAGGTAGCATTGATCGCCCATTTGACATGAATCCTTCCTTTATTTTCCATTAGTATCCACATGCTTATCCCCAGAAGAATTGGCTTTGCTTATTCTTTTAAGAATCTGAAGGTTAATCTTAATACTTTAGGGAAGGCAGGGGTGGCGTGGATGTGATTTAAGTCTGAGAAACTGAAATAACATCCATGCCACTCGATTTCTAATAGAGAAAGGGTCAAGCACGAACATCTTATGCTACTTTGCCACTATAAATTCACTCCTCCCAAAGTTGCATTTTATTTCATTTTTTAAAAAAATAAAGTACAAGGGCTGTATTGTCTTCAATTGTTTAACCACTTCTTCTGACCTCTTTGACCTCCGTGGAATCTGTGAGCTTTCTTTCCTGAAAATGTTGATGCACCCATGATCAAAACCCATGTTAGAGCCATAGCTTTAATTAGCTAACCGTTTTTAAGTCCCAAAACTGTGTGCAAGCTTTGAGAGGCACAAAAACTCTTTGTTAGACCTGGTACTGTATTTGTGAAAGACAGGGTGGGGAAAAGGAAATAGAAAAGATCTGCTGGATAGCTCAGTGGTTTAGGTCTCTGGCTCCAGAGGCAGAAGCTGGGAGTTTGATTCCCCACTGTGCCACCTTGACAGGGGTTGGACTTGATGGTCCATGGGGTCCCTTCCAGCTGTGCCCCTCAAAGATGATTAAGGCATGCACGCCAGATCTTAAAGTCTTTGTTTTCCTTCTGGCATTGAAAGGTGGCAGTGGGAGGGAGAGAAAACAGCAGCCGCTATTCAAATGTGCCTTTCTTTGGGGGACATTGGTGTTGAATTGCAGCAGGAAGTAAGCCTGAGAAGAAAGAAGCAGGGAAGGTTTTGATTCTCTGTTATTGTACATTTCCAGGTCTGACTTGGTGTTGTTTGAAGCTCATGGTTTTTTTTTTTTATTATTATTAGGTGAAGACCAGGAACACCCTGGGCACTCCCCATATTAAAGTGTCTGGGGATAGTTCCAAGAATCCCAAATGTTGCTTGAAATTGGAAAATGTCACTTAAGGCCAAATGGAGTAATATTACCTAGGGATCGGAATCTCAGCACTGGCAAACTGTCACGGGACTGGCAAAATGTGGCGTTCTTCAAGCCGAATAGAATGCAGAGGCAGTGGTGCTGAACAAGAAGCCAAGTCCAGAATTGAACACCCATATTAGTATGATACTTTAATAAGCCAACCCAAAATAGGGGGTGGGGGATCAGTTAATGGTGTGTAAACCTCCTTCTTGGGAAATGAGACTTTGTTTTGAAGTCCAAGAACTGGTTCATAGGATTGAGAAAGAGGAGTGGTTTGAATTAAACCAGCTTCGTAAAGATCTGGTTTCCCATGGTATGCACCTACCGCTGCTTTGGTTGATCAAATAGGTTTGGCAGGTTTCTGAAACAGTACAAATACCTGTAACCTCTGTTTGAACACAGACCAAAGAAAAGAGAGGTGTCTGCACTATCAGCTTCAGTTCCTCTGTCTCAAGCTGCTGATCCTTCTAACCATCTCTTCCTCCTTTCTCTCCTCCTCTGGTAAGGCAGAGTGGCCTGAAGATGCAAATACGGAGTCAAACTTCCAGCAAGAGGATGCACCAACCAATGGTAGGTACTCAAGAAAAGCTTTGTGCTGGAATCCTTCCATAATGATAGCAGTCTGCACCATCAGCTTCAGTTCCTCTGTCTCAAGCTGCTGATCCTTCTAACCATCTCTTCCTCCTTTCTCTCCTCCTCTGGTAAGGCAGAGTGGCCTGAAGATGCAAATACGGAGTCAAACTTCCAGCAAGAGGATGCACCAACCAATGGTAGGTACTCAAGAAAAGCTTTGTGCTGGAATCCTTCCATAATGATAGCAGTCAGTCTCAATTTTTCAAGCGCGTGCCCCCTGCATAGCCATTGTCTCAGCAAAGCAAAGCAAAGCAAAGCATGCTGCCATCTCAATGCAAAAGGGAGGGAGCAGGAGGAGAATTCCAGAGATTGCCGAAGTCCAAAAATCTTGATGGTGGGGGCACCCCCAAGGAGGAGTGAGTGTGTTTAATGGCTATGAAATGTTGCATGACTGTTGGAAGAGGTATTTATCAGGCAAAAACCGAAATGAAAATGTAAAAGACAGAAAACAAAAATGTTGGGACACCTTGAAGACTATCTGTTATATAGTAGGGCTAGGTCCCAAGCCCCCACCGAAGTCCAAAAATCTTGATGGTGGGGGCACCCCCAAGGAGGAGTGAGTGTGTTTAATGGCTATGAAATGTTGCATGACTGTTGGAAGAGGTATTTATCAGGCAAAAACCGAAATGAAAATGTAAAAGACAGAAAACAAAAATGTTGGGACACCTTGAAGACTATCTGTTATATAGTAGGGCTAGGTCCCAAGCCCCCACTCACCTGTGGCAGTAGGAGGCTGGGAAGAATTCCAGAGATTGCCAGAGTCCAAAAATCTTGATGGAGTGGGCACCCCCAAGGAGGATTGAGCGTGTTCAATGGCTACGGAATGTTGCATGACTGTTGGAAAAGGTATTTATCAGGCAAAACCGAAATGAAAATTAAAAAGACAAAAAGCAAAAATGTTGGGACATCTTGAAGACATATAGTAGGGCTAGGTCCCAAGCCCCCACTCACCTGTGGATGCTGACAAACACAAATATAGCGAATGCCATACAGCAGTGGTCCTCAACCTTGGGCCTCCAGATGTTCTTGGACTACAACTCCCAGAAGCCTTCACCACCACCTCTGCTGGCCAGGATTTCTGGGAGTTGAAGTCCAAGAGCATCTGGAGGCCCAAGGTTGGGGACCACTGCCATACAGAACATGGTCTCTGACATCCTCTAACAGCCAGTTCTGGTAAGTACACCCTGGAAATTGAAGGACGTACAGAACATGGTCTCTGGCACCCTCTGATAGCCAGTTCTGGTAAGTACACCCTGGAAATATGTATAAATATGTGTTTCTAGTGGGGGAGTGTTGTTTAATATTTTCCGACAGCAGATGAATGAATCTGTGGATGGAGGGGGTCCTACTCTATTTTAATGTGAGCTTTGGTGGGGGGAGTGTTGTTTAATATTTTCCGGCAGCAGATGAATGGATCTGTGGATGGAGGGGGCCCTACTCTATTTTAATGTGAGCTTTGGTGGATTAGGTCCACTGCCTCAGACCTAAAAGGGAGATTGCATGCCAATTTTTATGCATTTATATATGGCACCAAAATAAGAAACAGTGGTTGGTTGAGTAGGGATATAAATTGCAAATAGTGTGAACCAATGTGGCATTTCACACCTGGTAAATGACTTCTGTTTGATCTTAAGAGCTTTTCCATTGAAGCTTTGTAATGTGAAAGGCTACAGAGGCTAGTAAATGTATGAGAAGCCCTGGCATAGAGTAACAATAGCAGAAACAATCTGACTGTAAATTATATATGGCTGAAATTGTCAATTATACATGGCCAAAAGTAAGGAGACTAGTATTTGACACCTGGTAATGACTTTTAAGACTGTTTCATAGACAGTTCTTTTCTAGGAGGTTTTGTAATCACCTACAATGGTGGGCGGTTGAATTACCCCAGGCAAGAGATGACGGCAAGAACAACGTGGTAATAAGTTAACAATCTCTGATTGCCTTTGAAGTTTTTAAGGTGGATTGGGTAGTTAGGAGGAAAATATTGCTGGGAGACAGAGGAGGAGGATTGGAAACCACAGAAACCCAGGAGGAAAGGAGGGGAATAGGATGTTGGAAGATTGCATGACAAGTTGGCTGACTAAAACCGACAACAGGTTTCTTCTAAGCCAATGTATTTTGTTGAGAGCCAAACCTGATGTTTCAGAATTAGTTTCAGAATAAGACAGTGGAGGCTGGTGACTCAACAGTGGTGGGAGCTTGTCTGACATTCTTTTTCTTGATTTGTAGGAGAAGATGCACTTACAACAGAAGCAGTGACAACAGTGGAAGCCCTTACCACTATCGGCAGTATGGGATCCAGTAGTCCTGCAGGTGAGTACAGTGGTGCCCCGCATAACGAGTGTTTCATTTAAGGACGAATCCACATAGCAATGTGTTTTTTGCGATCGCAAAAGCGATCACATTGCGATGTTTTAGATGGGAAAACATCGTTTTGCGATGATCGGTAAGCGTTTCGCTTACGATTATTGCATAACGATGTTTTTTAAACAGCTGATTGGCGGTTCCAAAATGGCCACCGGGTAAAGAAAATGGCCACCTGCAGTGTTTTCGTGCCCTTTCCTCGCTTACCGGGCAGCGAAAATGGCGGCCGCATGGAGGGTTTTCGCAGAACGGTGAATTTTTTGCCCATAGGAATGCATTAAACATGTTTTAATGTGTTCCTATGGGCTTTTTTGCCCTGCATAGCACCGAATCTGTATAGCAATGATTTTTTCGGAATGGATTATTGTCGCTATGCACAGCACCACTGTATTTGAGAATGCAAGCTGGGCAATTGAAGGAAAGGGAGAGACAGCCCAGCAGAAGGACCCAGATGTACAAGACTCACCACAAATGACCTTACTGTGTTGTCTTTTTCAGAGGTTACTAAAGCTGAGCAGTCATCTGTTGACCATGAGAAGAGGACAGGTATCTAGAAAGTTGAAAAAGTGGGAGGGAAATTTTAGCTACTTTTCTATTTTCCTTGGAGAACTTATGGATCTGTGCAATGAAAGCAAAGGCTGCCACCATGTCTGTAAAGCAAAATTCAAAATGTATTCTGGGCTAATATGTTTCTTAGGCTAACAGAAAAAACACAAAAAGCATCCAGGCTTTGAACATCGCAAATATGGTTCTCAGGCGTGATGTTGCAAAAGTAGGTGAGGGTGGGGAACAGAAGGAAAAGAGGCTTGATCTTCGGGCTATGCTGTCTGTGTCATGTCTTGAGATGTGATGGAGGAGGAAGGTTTACATGCAAAGAGGGTTTATTAAATGTTGGTGATAGATTTTACCAAGAGTAGCTTAAAGATTTGCCAGGTGTTAGAAAGCTTAATGCTGGTAATAACAGATCTTCTCCCCTTCCCACCTTCCCCAAACACACATACTTCTTTGTAACCAGATGAACACCATCATGTAGCTTTCGGGTAGCTTTCAAGCTGCCATGTATTTTGTAATCATCGTCAACATCTTAGAACTGCAGAGTTAGAAGGGGCCCTCTCGACCATTGAGTCCAGTCCCCTGTCTACAAGCCACAGCGAGGAATCAATCTCCCAGCCTCTGGCTCTGAAGCTCAATACCTAAACCACTGAACTATCCAGTAGTCCATGTAAGGGCACACCATGCATTTCAAAGGACATTGCATCTTGGAAAATATTTTGCACAGAAAGCAGCACCATATTTTTTTAACCGGGGGGACTTGCTTGTAGGGGCAGGTGGGAAATAAATATGGCTTATTGGAGACAGATCCTTCTTCCTTCCTGACTCTGGGTGTGACCACATGGGTAAAAACAATGTGGGAAATATGAACTGGACTGGGACAGTCTGTTCTGCATTTTTCCCCATTGACCTGATGATGTAAAAGCAGATGTAAATCAGCCCAGATTAAATCAGATGTAAATCAGTCCAACTCAATCCTAAATTTTAGCCTCAGCCATTGGGGCTCTAACTTGTTAGACAGGTTGAATGAAAGATTATTTATTTATCATTTACATTTCTGTCCCATCTACCCCCAGTGAGAGGAAAGTAATGTACTTGGCTCTTCTTATGCCCTGCTTTATTTTCACAACAACCTTGTGAAGTAGATCAGGTAAGAGGGTGACAGGTCCAAATTAATTTTCATAGCTAAATAGGGACACAAACCTGGGCCGGTCAAGTCCCAATTTAGCATTCTAACCACTGCTCCATAGTGTCTAGCTATTGTATCCTTCCCCCCAACACATAATCCATTTCTCTATACCACCTAAAGGTATATAAAGGTGTATGTGTTACAAAACACATGGTAACTTGCAAAACCTTCTAAACGGAAGCAACACTCTACAAAAATCTATGGTTGTGGGGGCAAGTGAAAAATATGTGATGTATTGTCAAGTCACAGGCAATTTACAGCAATCTTGATATGATTTTCAAGAGAGATTCTTAAAGAGTGGCTTTATCAGTGCCACGTCCCAGTGAATTTCCATGGCCAAGCAGGGATTTGAACCCAGGTCTCCTGAATCTAAGTCTGTCACTCTTATCCACAACCTCACACTAGTTACTGAAATGGGAAACAGATGGAGACATACTCCTCCTCCTTGATTCTGCAGAGTTGTTTTCATGCCATTTGAACTCTCTAGAGGAGGTAGAAGTTTCCTCCTATAGTTCAACCATTATTTCTTCTGCCTTCAAGGTGTGTAGGACAATAGGGTTCACTATAAGAGGGAACTTTAGAATATTTTCCCATATTTTTCTGGTGCAGTAGGGAAGAACACTACAGGCACCATACACAAGGTTGAGGACAGTTCCTGCAGTCTGTATCAGGATCTTGATGGCCCTTCAGTGGTAAGGCTTGCACATTTTTGACCATCTCACATTCTTTCTCTTTCCACAGATGTTGAGAAGAAAGATTATCGTGATCCAATTTTCTATTACGGTATGTCCTAAACTGGGGAAAGAGATACAGAGCAAGGCTGGCCTGCAGCAGGGTATTTCCACTGGATCCCACAGTTTCCGCAAGAAATGAGATTCCTTCCTCCTACAGCAACTCCTGGGCAGTAAAAAAATCCTCTGCAGAGTAGACCAGCCCTTTGGAGGAAGGCTTTCCCCATGTAATGCTTGAGCAGGGAGAGGAAGGAGAAGAAAGTCTCAAATCTGCTGACACTGGGTACTAAAGTGTGCCACTCGACTTAATCAATAACCTTTCTTCCATTTCTTTTAAAAATTGGCAAGGGTTTTGAACATAAGGTGGAGTCTCCTGGAGCTTACAAAATAACTTTGGGGATTGCAAGTCTCCAAACCTCCAAACTGACGTGACCATAGGCCTTAGTGGTTGGAGCATTCTGAGAAATGTAATCCAAAACAGTAACTTTTCCAAGTTCTGTTTTTTTATGTCACAAATGTAATACACAGGAGACACTAGATACACTCATGCAACCTTTGTTTTTGTGAAACAGATGTTGTAGGCTTTTGCTTGTCTGAAAAAACTGTTTAGTTGGAGGAAAGAAGGGGAAACAAAGAACAAGTATAGACTGTACATGATAAGAGGCGGTAGCTGTCTGAAATGTCTTTCCATTCTCCTAAACTGTGCCATCTCCAACCCCAGACATTGCTCATCCATCAGCATTGGCTTATCTTCAGATGACATCTGATGTTGACTGTTTTTCTCCTCCCTTTGCAGATTATCCCTCCCTGCGCAAATGGGGTCTGATTGCTGCTGCCATTCTCTTCATCCTTGGCATTCTCATTCTCACCTGTAAGTATGGGTGGTCAGCATGAGCGGTTGTTGTCTGTTCTTGACAACAACCTTGCCCTTTAAGGCAAGGCAAAGAAAATATTTAGTGGTCAGCATGAGCGGTTGTTGTCTGCATGCTGTTCTTGTCTGGCCCTTTAAGGTGAGGCAAAGAAAATACTTTTTTTCTAATTTTTAAAGAGATGTAGCATATCAGTGATAGTCTACATACAGTAAAAAAAAAAGAAATTACTCCCTTTTCTTTCAGCTGAGTAGGAGAAGTGATTAACTTGCCAATATTCTGTTTTTCTAATTTTTAAAGTGATGTACATATCAGTGATAGTCTACATAAAGTTAAAAAAAAGAGAAGAAATCACTCCCTCTGCTTTCAGCTGAGCAGGAGAAGTGATTAACTTGCCAATATTCTGAAGTGGCTTGCTTATTAAACCACTTGACAGGAAAACTCCGATTTCAAACCTCCACTGAGGCACCGCCATCGCCGTCCATGCCATGAGGGAACAGGCCGGGTAGGTGGGACTCATTCAGCCCTGGAAGGCAGCCTATCTAGAAGAAGGAAAACTCTGACTGACTTCAAACCTCAACTGCCTTGTAGCTATATCCACTGATGGAAAAGGCTTCAGGAGTTAACCTCAAGGCAAAATCCGGAGCCGGAGTCCCGGAGGCAGTTCGTGTCATTCTGTCAACTCCTTCGATGTCGCTGAAACCAGTTGTATTGGCTCTCGCCTTTCCACTGGACTATTTCAGCGAGGTGGAGAGGGGGGATTTGCTGGTTGGGTAACAGCCTATCCTCTACATTATTTTACCCAGGCTTTGTGCCCTGGAGAGGATACTCCAGCTTCACGTGCAAGGTCAAAACACTAGACGCTGTTCCAAGTCCTCCATACAGAGCATGTTGCCATAATCTCTCGACACTAAAGGATGCCTGTGATGACAATATTGGCAAATTGCAAGAGGACGGGTTGCTTTGGATTAGTTCCAGCAGTCAGACATACTGGAACTGATCTAAATCAGAGCAAACCTTCCTGCACCAGAAAACTAGAAGCCCCTTGGCATGGATGGGCCAGAAAAGTGCAGGTAGGAACGTTCTGGAGCTAGGCTGGCGGACTCCGACAAGGACGTTGTCTGATTGCCATTTTTAAGAGTGCACCATCCCATCCCTGTGGTGCCCCAAACAGTGGGGTTAACAGCCTGTGTTGTTAGCCTTGTACTCTAACACATCTGTGAAGTGCCATACTGCAGAATGTGGCCCTAAAGCATGGATCTAACAACCTGTTCAAAATCCTTGAGAAGGGCTGGATTTGATGATCCGTAGGACCCCTTCCAGCTCTGCAGTTCTAAAATGGTGAGGAAGATGATGATGAATTAAACCTTACTGCTGACCTGCATCTTATATATCTTTTCCACCCCTCTCAGTGACACTTCCGTTGCTCATTCATTTGCTAAATACTGTGGACTCTTTTGTTCAGATGAATTTTTTAAAAAATAAAGAACAATGGCTTTCTCTAACTTTCCAGTTAGAGAATACTGACACAGTACAATACTGAAGTGGAGCAATGAGCATCCACAAAGAGCTATCAGTAAATCAAGAGTGGAAATATTTTGAGTGCTGTGGGGTATGTGCAGAACATTTTCCCACAGTCCGGAATGGCGGCATCCTCTGCCTCCCCACCCACTTAGAATCAACAGTTGCAACCAGAAGAACAATGTCATATATACAGAGGAAGAGAGTGAGTGGGCGTATGTGTGTGTGTGTAAGAGACTCTTATGCATGACTCTTGCATTAATGTAGTCCTGCTTGGAAGGACTGAGTGGGGAATTCAAATAACTCGCCCCCTGGTCTTCTGACCGAGGTCAGATCTTGACCACTAATGCACCAAACGGTGGCTGCACCACCTTTCTGCATTCCTGCAATGTGCACTGCGGCAGAGCAGGAGGGGGGGTGGCTTCCTCACTTCTGTCCCATTCCTGCCTACTTTGGCTATTTCTCAAAGCTGCTAATAAAACAATAATAATAATTCCAGCCAGTTTCAACCAGAACAGGAAAGCTGAAAAGCAGCAGCACCATGCCAAAGTAGGGGAAAGTCCACTAAAGAGGAAATTGACAAAGACTGCATAAAGTGGGGGGGGGGCTGAAAATGGGGGCTGGTGAAGGAAAAGAGACATGAGTCCTTAAGCTGGCGAGGGGTGCCTAGGATATCCAATCCTCACGGGTTACAGCGCCAGCAAATAAATAAATAAAAATCTAAAATTGTTAACAATATTAAAGTTGCAGGTGACTCATCAATTAATTAGGACCTAATTAAGTTATAAAGTTAGTGCTGTTGCCCTTGTTGATAGGTTTGCCTAAAAAATTAGAACATGATTATTTTATTTCAAGCTCTGCCGTCGCTCCATTATTTCCCGACTCCTGGACAAGTTTTGAACTCTATCGAGTTAGGCATTGCTGGCAGCCTAGAGCTGTCTGTTTTGCTCGTGGCTGTAGAAGGAAGGGCTAACACAACTCTCTATTCTCTCTTTGTGTCTAGGTGGTAAACAAGGAAAATTCCCAAGATGCCGAGGAAAGAAGCGGGCAAGGTGAGAGGGCAAATTCAGCAATTCCCTTCCCTTCTCCCCAATTCATGGTTTCTTTAATAACAGTTCATAAATTGGGGAGGAGGACACAAAGCATGACTCTTCCAAGGCTAGATGTGTGTCCCCCAAGGACATTTTCATGCCTTCTGGGCCACAAATGCCCCCCCCCTCAAATAAAGTCAGCAATTATGTCTCTCCCCCGTCCTCCACTATAAGAAGCCTGTTCTCAGAGCTGGGTGTTTGCAAGCAGCTTCCAGCCAATCCCCCGTCACTCAAAAACAGATGTAGGCACATAGTCACTTCCAATTTGGGCTTTAAAAACGGTTGGCCATTTCTTGCAGTTGTCTGAGACTATAGGGCAGGGGTGGGCAATTAATTTCTATAAGGGGCCACATGAAAAATCTGAACTGTGTCCAGGGGTGGATAGTAATAGAGCCCCAATTTGTGGGTAGTAATAGGCACAAAGCGTGAGCCAGAGGCTTGATGTGTCCCCCCAAGGATATTTTCATGCCTTCCGGGCCACAAATCCCCCCCATTGCATTTTGTGTCAAATAAAGTCAGCACATATGTCTCTCCCCTCTCCTCCACTATTAGAGGCCTGTTCTCAGAGGTGGGTTTTTGCAGGCAGCTTCCAGCCAATCCCCCTCAAAAACAGATGTAGGCACACAGTCAGTTCCAGTTTGGGCTTTAAAAATGCTTGGCCATTTCTTGCAATTGTCTGAGCCTGTAGGGTGTGCTGGGAGAGAACATTTTAGCCACTAGGCTCACGCGAAGTCCCTATCCCGACTAGGAGTGGCCCTGCCATTGGGCAAAGTGGGGAAACACCTCATCTGGCAAGTGATAGGATAGAGTGGCCATGGAGGCCCATTGGCTGCACTTTCTGAGCCCTTGCCGTTCCCTTCTGTGGGAGGACACGTTGATAAACGTCACACAACTTGTCCTCATGCCAGAAGTGATCCTGCTGCCCTCAGGTGTGGGCAGTGTTACTCAGCGGCGATGAGCGGGCCGGACAGGAGTGGCTGTCGGCCCGAGGGTCGCACTTTGCCCAGGTCTGCTGTAGGGTGCGCTGGGAGAGAACATTTTAGCCACTAGGCTCACGCGAAGTCCCTATCCCGACTAGGAGTGGCCCTGCCATTGGGCAAAGTGGGGAAACACCTCATCTGGCAAGTGATAGGATAGAGTGGCCATGGAGGCCCATTGGCTGCACTTTCTGAGCCCTTGCCGTTCCCTTCTGTGGGAGGACACGTTGATAAACGTCACACAACTTGTCCTCATGCCAGAAGTGATCCTGCTGCCCTCAGGTGTGGCAGAAAATGCTATTGCCAGGAATGAGTGCCCAATTAGCTTCTGGATTTAGAATGGAGATCTGTGTGTGTGTGTGTGTGTGTGTGTGTGTGTGTGTGTGTGTCCTTGCCCTCAAGTAGCCAAATGCCTTCAGCTCGTCTTCCAGCAACATAATTACATTCTTATGTATTTCTTGTCCTTTTTTTCACTTCCTTTACAGAACCTATGATGTGACACAGGCCTGAAACCACATCCTTATGAGATGTGAACTGGGACTAGCTTCAGTCTATATGTGGATGGCTCATGGGGTCACCCTTCCTATTTTTCTCCTGTAGGGGAAAAATGACTACCTAGATCCCCTTAAACCATTCTGCTCCTTGCCTGACCTTCCAACATGTCCTTTTTAATTGGCTGTACAATATCTGTCCATTTCCCCCCTGGCCCTATGCATAAGCTATTCATAACATTAAACAAGTCCCCCCGTAGAACCAGAAAACTTGTACATTCTTACTTCTTCTCTTCATCCAACCTCAGATTCAGAAAGACTTTAGTTGGCGTGTGCATCGTAGGAATGGGCGTTGCTGCTCCACGCCAAGAAAAACCCCTTTGTGATAATTCTGTTCAAAGAAGTCTTCAAGTTCTGTACTTGTAATAAAATTTGGGCGAGGTTTGTTTTTTCTTCATGTTCTGCCGTTATTTCATTCTGTGCTTTTGTTGGCCCCCCTATATGTGAAGTCATGGTCATTAATGGAGATATTATGCCACCAGGAGCATATTGGAAAAATAAAAACCAGCAGACCAGGTTACAACGGTCTCCAATTGCAAATGAGAAATCAAAGTCCGGACTTAATTGAAGCTACTCGTATTGCAATTCCTCCAGTCTGCTGGCACTTAAGGTAAACAAGTGGTTGTTATGGGACAGTTTATTTTCTTCTTTCAGTACAAAGACTCAGCACCAGTGCTCTCTCCCATGCTGCTAAGCCACTTTGGTACAAATTAAAAATGAAATATGTGTAGAAAAGAATAAGAGACTGCCCAAGGCTTATAGTGTATAGGCACCAGACAGTTGTATTTGTTGACCTCATAGCATTTCAACAGGTATGGCTTTGTCCCGAGAGATCCTGGAATTTGCAATATTGTGATGGTGAAAGTTTGCACACTTTTGTTGAGTTACTGCTTATACAGTGGTGCCTCACTAGACAGTTACCCCGCATGACAGTTTTTTCGCTAGACATTGACTTTTTGCGATTGCTGTAGCGATTCGCAAAACAATGATTCCTATGGGGGAATTTCGCTGGACAATGTTTGGTCCAGCAAACCAATTTTCGCTAGACAACAATTTTGACAGCTCCCTCCATGCTTGCAAAACAGGTGTTTCCAGGGCCTAAGCTTCGCAAGACATCGATTTAAACAGCTGATCGGCGGTTCACAAAGCGGCTTTCCTATGGCTGATCTTTGCTAGACAACAACGATTCTTCCCCATTGGAACGCATTAAACAGGTTTCAGTGCATTCCAATGGGGAAATGCTTTTCACTAGATGATGATTTTGCTAAACAGCGATTTCAGTGGAATGGATTATCGTCATCTAGCGAGGCACCACTATAAGGCATGACCCGGCTATGATTTCCCCACCCCCACCCCTTCTCATGGACTGACATGGCTATTTCAGTGTTTGCTATGTGTTATCAAATTGCATCTGAAAATGCCTGATAGTATTTTCAATGTTTTTAAGGTATGGTTTTACAAGTACACTTCTGAGTACCTAGCTACTCTCCATTGAGTTCAATGGCCAAGCAGGGATTTGAAACTAGCTCTCTGGATTCCTAGTTTGTCGCCCTATCTGATACGTCACACTGGTTCTCAACAAAACTACTTTACTGGGCCACCAAACAATTTAAAATGAAAGAGAGCTGGCTGATTAGCTCAGTAAGTTAGGCATCTTGTTGGAGTACCAGAGGTTGGGGGTTCAATTCCCCACTGTACATCTCAGAAGAGCCAGCCTATGTGGCCTTGGACAAGCTGCACAGCCCTAGGATGCCCCCCAAAACAGAGAATGAATACATTTCTGAGTACTTAGAAAAACCCTGAAAAGGGTAACCACAAGTCAGAATTGATTCAATAATACACTATTACTTTACTTACTTTACTTTTATTGAATTTATTATTATTAGAGAAGCAGAAAAGTATGAACCGCATCCTGGCTAAATGTTAGAACCCTGGGAACTGTAGATAATTAAGCTCCAAAGCAAGAGACCGCAAGCTTGAAGAGCCATCTAGAAGCATACTCGGCATCCACATCTAAGGATGAAGACTCAATGGCCCATCTCCATTTCTATAGAAACATAAACTGCAAAGACTCAGCAAACTGTTCGTTTGTGGCCTCCAACTCAAAATGCACACCCCCCTCAGTTTACATGGAACAGAAGGATATGGCAGTCCCTTTACTGCCCAACTTGGAGAGTAAATTTAGCTGGTGTCCATGTCAAAACGATATTACCTAGCATTCACTGAAAGGTGTAGCCTTCAGCACAGTGCAGACTCTCTGGAGTGGTGATAAAAGCATCCCAATGCCCAATGAAGGACTTCAGAGTTTGCCATTGTATATGAGTAAGATCAGAAATAGAATTGGATAGTAATACCACTATAAGGTATATATAGTATATAGAGAGAGTTTGGGAGTCTGATTTCCCACTGTGTCTCCTGTGAGTAGAGCCAGCCTGGGTGGCCTTGGGCAAGCTGCATGATCCCAAGGCAACCCCTGGAGAAGGGAATGGTCAACCACTTCTGAGTACAGTGGGGTCTCTACTTAAGAACTTAATCCGTATTGGAAGGTGATTCTCAAGTTGAAAAGTTCTTATGTTGAATCTGCATTTCCCATAGGAATGCATTGAAAACCATTTAATCCGTATCTGCTCTTTTCCGTCCATAGAAACTACAGTGGAACCTCTACTTAAGAACTTAATCCGTTTTGGAATGGTGTTCTTAAGTTGAAACGTTCTTAAGTTGAAGCAAAATTTCCCATAGGAATGGACTGAAAACCAATTAATCCGTTCTGGCTGTTTTTTTTGTTATATAGAGGTGCGTTCGTACATTGAAGCATTAGTTCCCATAGGAACTAATGCAAAGCTGGTTAATACGTACTCTACCACTAGGGGGAGAATTTTTTTTAACCTAAGATGACCTAAGGTTAAAAAAAGAGCAGGAAAGGTTTTTTTTTTCCTGTTCTTATCTTGGATTTCTGTTCTCAAGTAGAAGCAAAATTTAGCAAATGGAGCTGTTCTTAAGTTGGATTGTTCTTAAGTAG